ATATATATATATATATATATATATATATATATAGATATATATCTATATATATATATATATATAGAATGTAGGCCGAGCCACTCTTTTCGAGTGGATGATAGTTGCTGCCAATGTGTACAGTGCAGTGGCTGTTAGCATCTCGCTCGTCCGTTTGACTTGACGGAACATGTTGCTCTTGGGTAAAGCCGCCCTGCACATCTTGATGATGTTCAGTGATGACATTTACGTGGATGTTTACTACTCAGAATGGCAAGCAATGCATCCGTCCATGTTTCCATCCCACTCATCCTAATTTGGGTCACAGGTGAGCTGGAGCTGATCCCAAGTGAGGGAAGCAAGGTAAACCCTGGAATTGTGGCCAGTCACTTGTAGGGCACACACACACACACACACACACACACACACACACACACACACACACACACACACACACACACACACACAATTTTCACCTTCAACGATATCCTTAGACCACTTTTGGGTAAACTATATTTTCAATATAGTGTTAATGCTGAATTTAATTTCGTCTTTTCTTAACTTATTTTTGCACTTGTACACACAGTTCATGCAGAGTTAATGAATAATTTTACCTTCATATTCATTTGAGTAGTAGCTTGAACTTTCCAAAAAGTCGACCATCAATTACTGTTGATGACTGAATCATACAGATCAGCTACACAGTGTTTATGCTGAATTGGCAAGATATCTGCTCCCCACTTTTGCATACACCGTGTGTAAAAGTGTGAGTCATTTCATGTCATCTTTTTATACATATGGTCAGTGGTGAGAAGAGAACTAGTGTACTACTTTAGATGCCACTTTACAATGAGGATATCATAAAGAGTTTATACATTGTTAATACAAAGGTTAATCATTTCTTTTTGCTCAGTCTTAATAATCTGCTAGAAATTGTTAAATAACAGTGCAAATGACCTCAGGCTTGCCAGATAGTGGACCCACATTCATGCGGTTATGTAGTGATAAAAAAGTGACACTTCTTTCACTTTAAAATATGCCCACGTTTGCTATTTTGAAATGGTCAAAGCTTAAGGCAACCACGGAATAAGACACAGAATAGTTAACGATAGTGTGTGGTGTCGTTTGATTTTGCCAAATCGTGAGCCAGCGCTTACGATTTATAACTGGTTCATACTGACAAAAGGTGAATAATGTCTAGCGGAATGTTTTCATCCAATTGTAAAGACCATTGCAGCGCATAACAAAAGATAATTCATACAGTGTACTTCAGCATCAAGTAAACACAATTTTAGAGGCAGAATAGAAAACCCCAGTGGGTGGTTGTAACTTGAACTGTAGAGTCGTGAGCTGGCATTTCTCGTTGATAACTGATACAAGTCAACAAAAGGTTTAAAATGTCATGAGTAAGGGATTAAAAAGTTTAAAATTCTTTAAGTTACAGATGCTAGTGCCAGATTTTGTTTTTGTACTACTGTATTTTTTTTTTGTTTGTTTTTGCAGGTTTCAAATCAATATTGCTTCAAACATTCCTTTAACAATAAAGGTTTTATGTTGGGTTCAGTATGAACCTGAAAGGGATTGATTGATTTCCACAATTTCTTGTGAGAAAAAAAAAATTGTGTAACTCTGACTTTTCACTGTATTTTGCAAGTGTAAGTGTACGCGGGGCATCATCAGTCTGAATGCTGACTGCAAGGTCCTGACAGAAGGCTCCCATCCACATTCAAGGCTTCATTGTAACCAATCAATATTCATTTAGTCATCCCGCCTATTGACTCCCGACTGAAATAATATTACAGGTCATTTGTCACGTCACTGAGCAAGGACAATTAGATCCTTTATCCTACCCCCAAAAAGTGGATATTGAGTAAGTCTGGAAAACACCCAAGTGTAAATAAGTATTTTCTTCATAAAACACTATAGGCAGGGAGAGGAAAAATCAATAGCTGCTTCCTGTGATCCATCTCAAGCAAATCAATCATTGTGTGTGCAGCGGGGCAAGCAGCAGGAGGAGGAGGAGACTGGCGGCGGTGGCGGCGGCGGTCCGCAATCTTTGGCCGATACCCCCTCATTTTGGAGCCACTTCTCATAATGGGGTCATCATTTCATCACTTAGCGCATCGCAGCAGTCTGCCATTCAGCCCCATGAGGGTGGGCGGCGCCATCAGATGAACACCATACATCTTCATCCAGGTCAAGTCAAGGAAAAGCAGATCAGAAAATCAACATTTTTCATTGCAATTCAGCCACCCCCACCACCCATTTACATTCACATAGAAGATAAAATGACTTCCTCTTTATGCATCTGGTCAAAAAAAAAAAAAAAAAAAAGCAAAAGCAAAAGCAAAAAAAAAAAACCCCAACCAAATAGTTAGTAGTAAAAGTGACTGTACACGTCAGGTAAAAGTATATATATATATATATATATATAATTATAATATAATTATAATAAAATGTATAATTCG